GCCGCAACGTTGGGCGGGGCCGCGAAGGTAGGGCGGGGCCGAGCCGGGCAGGCGCACGGGCGGCGACGAGCCGGGGCGGGGCCGCGACGAAGGGCGGGGCCGAGCCGGGCAGGCGCACGGGCGGCGACGAGCCGGGGCGGGGCCGCGACGAAGGGCGGGGCCGAGCCGGGCAGGCGCACGGGCGGCGACGGGCCGGGGCGGGGCCGCGACGTAGAGCGGGGCCGAGCCGGGCAGGCGCACGGGCGGCGACGGGCCGGGGCGGGGCCGCGACGTAGAGCGGGGCCGCGTCAAGGGGCGGGGCCGCGACGATCGGGGCGGGGCCGCGACGTAGGGGAGAAGCCCGCCGCGCGCCTCGGGGCGCACAGCGGGCAATGAACCGCCGCGCGCCTCGGGGCGCACGGCGGGCAGAAAACCGCCGCGCGCCTCGGGGCGCACGGCGGGAGGAAAAAGTAGCAGCGGAAGCGAGGTGGTAACCCACCCACAGGATCGATCCAAGGGGATCGACCTGCTCTGATAGCATGTCAAAATTAGAAGAAGAAAGAGGATTGAACTAGCAAGAATGAGGATACAAATAGCAAACCCTAGAAGGGTTGTACTCGCTATAGAGCACCCCACTACAGGCTAGAACAATAAGATAATATTCTGACAGGGCGCGCTTCGGTGGGCCCAAGAAAAACGGTCCTTAGATGGACCCGCTCTATACCATGTGAGAATAAGCGAACAGGAATGAATGAACTAGCAGTGAAATGAGTACAAGTAGGAAACCCTAGAATTGTGTACCCCCTATAGGCTAACCCACTGTAGCCTACACAAGCATAACATATATAATGTTTGACAATTTCGCCAACCTGGTGGTGCCGACTGCCGCTGGACGAGCCCCTGGTAATTGCACGCCACTGGCGATGTCGTAGCCACGTGCGCCAATGGCGATTTTGACCATTTCGGCGCCATGAGCGCCACTGGCGCCACTTGCGCCGCTGGCGATTTTTACGCCACGTGCGCCACTCGCGATTTCGCCACGCGCGCTTGTGGCGTTTTCGTCGCCACACGCGCCTGTGGCGTTTTCGTCGCCACACGCGCCTGTGGCGATTTCGTCGCCACGAGCACCTGTGGCGATTGCTTCGCCACGCGCGCCTGTGGCGGTTTCGTCGCCACGCGCGCCTGTGGCGATTTCGTCGCCACGCGCGCTTGTGGCGATTTCGTCGCCACGTGCGCCAGTGGCGTTGTCGCTTTATTAGCCCCAACAAGCGCGCCTATTGTGCGGACGGGTGCCTATTTCTGAAACACGTTGTGCCATGTCAATTGAGTTGATGCCTACTATTTTATGGGAGAAGTGAGAAACTGAGGAAAACGGGAAGCACCAAGTCGTCAGACGAGAATGAAATAAGACATTTGAAATTTCAAACGAAGACGTGGGTGGAGGCCAAATGGCCTCCACTCCTTGCTATATAGTTGGCGAAGAGCGTAGAACACTTCGCCGTTGCCATTGCTGCATTACAAGCAGCGTCGCTTTCGAAATATACATTTTTAGAAAGTGTCACACACTTTCAAAAAACTTCATATTTCATCATCATCGTCTTCTTCGATCAATGTCATGTGCACAGGTGCTATACCACAAGTGGTGCGTTTCAGGAGCGAAGCTTGCTCCGCAGCCTTTCCTACACAAAAAGTGGGGACTTTTTAGCCCCGCATAGCATTTCGCACTCCCATGTGATTTGGTTTCCCCACCCACGTCAGTCTCAGCAACTGGCAGGAATTCGTCTCCAGCCACCTTTCGCACAGCTCCCCGAGGAACACGTGTGTCTTAACCATGGGCTAGTTACCCGAGGGAAACGCCACCTCCCCGCGCGACACATTCCACCAGCTCTCCCCTTCCTCCAAACCCTCCGCCCACTCCGCTTCCGCGCTCGTCATCTCCGCCTTCCGCTGCACGCTCCCCGCCATCGTGCTCCGCGCGCTTCTCTTCGGCGATCTCCTCCTTTTTTCCGCCAACCCCCGCCTCTGACCCGCCTGCCCGCCCGACCGCGACGCCGTCGAAGCGCTCGTGCTCGCGGGGCTTCAGGCACGCGGCGCCAGCGGCGGGGGGGGGGGGCTACAGGCGGTAGGGCGCTACAGCCGTCCGTGTCGGTGGTAGTGGAACGGCCGGCAGATGACGCGGGCGCTGCCGGCGGCGAGAGCGGCGCGGCGGGGGAAGCGACGGAATGGTGGCGGGAAAAAGACAGCGCGTATAGTCCAACTGGTGGAAAAGGCGGCGGCGGTACTCCCCCCCTGGCGTACGGCATTCTCTGCGCGAAAAACGACAGCGCGCGCGTGGTGCGGCTCCTACTCACCATCCACCACCCGTTGAACCACTACGTCGCCCATATCGACGACCCGGAGGAAACTCTCGCGCTAAAGACAAAGATTGTCGTGATTCCGGAACCCGAAGTAGTCACGTACCAGGGGTCGACGCTGCTGTCCGCAACGCTGCGCCTCGCGCATGTGCATATAGCGCGCGGTGGGACTGTTTATCAACCTGAGCGCTGCGGCTTACCCGTTAATGTCACAAGATGGTGAGTGAAACGCGACGCTTTGGTAGGTTTTAAGGGGTCTTTGGTTGACCGCTTTCCCCCCTCGCAATCGCTGTTCTTCCCCACAACTTCGCCTCTGACCAATGCAACTTGGCCGCGCATGCTTCGCACCACAAATGGCTCAAAGCACGTTCTTATGCACTCACGACGACCGGCATTATGAGAACGTCGCTGCACTCGCTCTCCATTCCTTTGATCCATATCCCAGCCCCTACCCACCCCTCATCCTCCTCCTCACCCGCCTCGTCCCCATTCTCCTCACCCCCTCACCCTCTCTCTCACCCTCTTCGTTCTCACTCTCCCCACTCCCCTCACACTCTCACCCTGCTCTTCCCACTTCTTTCGCACTCTCCCTCCAGACATGCTCTCTCTTGTCGCACGTGGATCGCAGCCTCTCGTTCATGGACCACAGCGTCGAGCACTGATTCGAGTGAGTCGCCGCCTGGCCTCGTACGAGTCTAGTGTCCCCGTTATAGTCACACGTTTGTACGCGTCAGTTGTAACAATCCTTCGTGACTGCTTCATCCTACACATCGTTACTGTCACAGTGACTATATTCACACTGCAACGGATTGCCGTTCCGCATCTCCCTACCTCACCTTCCCCTCCCTCTTGCGTCTCTCTTAGAATGCCCGCATTGCTTTTCATACTCCCTACATTGGCCAAAGTATATATTGCGAATTTCGAGTTGACTAAGAAGTTTCCCAAGCATGCTTGTCTCAGTGTGCACCTGCCTGGAACCCCACATGCCGCCACCACGCAATGAATCTGGACGAGTAGGCACAAGGAAACTTCCCTTCCCCCCGTTTTCTGTCGTTCCCTTTCCCCACTGCCCCAGACAGAAGCAAGGAAGGGCACGAATGAAACAAGCTCTAACACCCCATGTCGCCACCCCCACTCCCCTCCCCCCTTCCCCCTTCCCCTCCCGCTTCTCTTCCCCTTCCCACGCCCTCCCCCTCTCCCTTACCCCTTCACAAGTCCTAACACCGCATCCCGCCCCTCCCGCCTTCCCCCTTCCTCTGCCCGCTAGCTACCGGCAGCGTGCAGTGAATCTGGACAGGGAGCTCTTCCTTTCCCAATTCCCCACCCTCCTCCACACACACTACCACCCACACTCTCCCTTCCTCCCTCTGCCCACCAGCTACCGCCAGCGTGCAGTGAATCTGGACAGGGCGCTCTTCCAGGAGCACAGAGGGCACAAGCTCATGCGGGACGTGTGGCCTGCTGCCACTCGCTTCCATGTTTTCATGGGTGAGTTGACCAGTGCTGACTTCTGTTGACTTGCGTTGACTTGAGCTGACCTGAGTTGACTCGAATCGACTTCAACGCACGGTGCTCATGCGGGATGTGCGGCTGGCTGACCCGTGTTGACTCGAGTTGACTTGAGTTGACTTCAAGGCACAAGCGCATGCGAGATGTGCGGCCCGCCCTTTCCACCCCTCCACTCGCACCTCTCCAGGCTGCAACTGGATCAAGGCGTCTCGCCCCTTCCTGCGCTATGGGAGCCCACCTCTTGACTTCTCCGCTGCACGTTTCAACCTTCAACCCTCAATTCACTCCCCTTCTCCCCTCCCCCTCCCCAACCCCCCTTTCCCTCCCCACCCTCTCCTCCAGGTTGCAACGATCAAGGCATCGCGCCCCTTCCTGCGCTACATCCTATGGGAGCCCACCGCTTGAGCCCCCGCTCCACACCCCCTCCCCCCCTCTCCCTCCCACAGGAGCCCACCACTCGTTCCTCATCCAGTGAGTCCTATGGGAGCCCAGCGCTTAAATCCTCCTCCTCACCTTCCATCCCCCCCTCCCCTCCCCGCTCTCTAGGCTGCAACTAGATCAAGGCCTCTCATCCCTTCCTGCACTACGTCCTATGGGAGCCCGCCAGCTGGCCACGCCGCATCCTCATGTACATGGCTGACGTCATCGACTCAGACGAGCACTACTTCAGCACCGTCGCCTGCCCCGCGCCCCGCTTCAACCACTACCTCCTCAACGCTAGTCTCCATTTCGCTACCTTCGCCAAGGCCCAAGGGCAGCCCAGTACGTATTAGTGTGTGGGTGGCACTGGGTGAGAGGGCTACTGTAGGTCACCACCCACATTGACTCGGATGAGCACCGTGGGGAGCACTGCTTGAGCTCCTCATGTCATCGACTCGCACGAGCACTACTTCAGCACTGTTGCGTGCCAGACAGCGTGTTTTAACCGGTCCCTGCTGAACACCAGCTTGCACTTGGCCACCTTTGCCAAGGGCAGCCCGGTAACTTCACCACCCTCCTGGCAGGGGTAGTGGCGGTGCTAGTGGCAGCGTGGCATTCTCACGGTGCATCTCGAGGTGATGGTTAGTGACACACAGAGATGGTTAGTGACACACAGAGATGGTTAGTGACACACATAGATGGTTAGTGACACACATAGATGGTTAGTGACACACAGAGATGGTTAGTGACACACAGAGCCAATCGCCCCGCTTCCACCGCTCCCTCGTCAACGCCAGTCTGCACATCGCCACTTTCGCCAAGGGCAGCCCGGTGCGTCCCCGGTGATGGCATGGCAAAGGGCAGCCCGGTGCTGCTAGTGGCAGGGGTGCGGCACGGCCAACTGGTAGAAGGGTGCGTTACAACAGAAGGGTAGTGTCTCACCTGCTCCCTCCCCCCCCCCCACTTCCTGCTTCCCCCCGTTTCCCCATTCCTCCGCCTCCCCTTCTTTCCAATGCAGATGAGTCCTATCTAGCTGCTTCCCCCTTTCCCCCTTCCTCCCTGCACCTTCTCGTCAACTCCCGCTTCCCCCACTTCCTGCTTTCCCCTGTTTCTTCCCCCCCTCTCCCCTCTCCCCCTCCCCCTCCTCCCAGGGTATTACCTCCTTAAGATGATCCCCCGCCCACCCGCTCCCCCCTCCCCTTGCCTCCCTCTCACTCACCCCACTGCAGCTGTCTCTCGAGATGAATGATTCCTCTTATGATTCCGTCACCACTGGAGTTCTGAGTCGATCCCTTCCCTCTCTTCCCCTCCCTGCACCCCCTGTATCCCCCGACTCCCCCATCCCCCCGTGGGGTCGTTTTAAGATGCCTTCACCAGTGGAGTTCAGAGTCAACTCAATAGTCCCTCGCCTCCCCTCTCCTCCCCTCCCCTGCACCCACTGTTTCCCCCTCCCCTCCCCCATCCCCTCACCACAGCACTCCCTCAAGAACGACTCGTTTTAAGATGCCTTCACCAATGAAGTTCAGAGTCAACCCTTTCGATGAGGCCTTCACAAGTGGTGTCTTCCTATTTGCCAAGAAGTTTCCTCGCGGCTCACCGACTCTGGATAGGATTGACAGGTACGAGAGCGAGTCAAGCAAGGGAATCCAGTCAAGAAAAGTCAACCCACTCATCTCAGTCAACCCACTCATCTCAGTCAATCAACCCACTCATTTTAGTCAACCCACTCATTTTAGTCAACCAAGTCAGCAAAGTCAACCGAGTCAACCCGGTGAACTAAGTCAACCTAGTCAACCCAGTCAACCAAGTCAACCCAGTAAACCAAGTCAACCCTGTCAAGCAAGCACCGAGTCAATCATAGTGAATCACGGGCTACTAGTTCAGACCCTACAAGTACATACCTCAAGACTCTCTCTCCAAGATAACCATCACAAGGAGCTACGTCATTGCTCCTCCCTATCCCTCCTCTGCCTAGTTCAGGTACTGTAGGTTCAGGGAACTCTGGTGTTGAAGTGTACCTATTGAGTCTCACTAGGGTAACTCATCACAGGGAGCTTCCAACCCTCTTTATCCCTCCTCTGCCTTACGTAACCCCATTCTTCCCATCCGTCCATACCCTCGTCTTCCCTCACCCATCTTCCCTTCACCCCATCTCACCTCTTCCCATCCTTCCATACCCCCATCCCCCCTCACCCACCTTCCCTATTTCCATCCTTCTTTACACCCATCTTCCTGTTTCCGTTTCCCCACCCTTCCTTTTCGCACCCCCCTCCTGTGCTCGCAGGGAGCTACTGCAACGGCAGCCTGACAGCATCACCCCTGACGCCTGGTGCTCTCTCCCTGCCTTCGCTGCCTCGGTTTCCCTCCCTTCTCATCCCTCTTACCATCCTCCTGTAACCCCACACTCCCTCTTCCCATTATCCCCATCCCATGCTCGCAGGGAGCTACTGCAGCGGCAGCCCGACAGCATCACGCCAGTCACCTGGTGCTCTCTCCCTGCCTTCAGTGTTGCATCGCCTCCCACATCCCACTCATCCTCCCCTATACCCGTCCTCCATGCTCCCCGCCCATCCTCCCGTTCTTGCTTGCAGGGAGCTACTGCAGCGACAGCCTGACAGCATCACGCCAGGCTCCTGGTGCTCTCTCCCTGCCTTCAGTGATGCATCGCCTCCCACATCCCACTCATCCTCCCCTATACCCGTCCTCCATCCTCCCCGCCCCATCCTCCCGTTCTTGCTTGCAGGGAGCTACTGCAGCGACAGCCTGACAGCATCACGCCAGGCGCCTGGTGCTCTCTCCCTTCCTCCTCTGCTTCGCCTTCCAATGTTCCACTTACCACCCAGCGATGGCACCACTGACAGTACCAGCGGCACCAGCAGCAGCAGCAGCAGCAGTGTTGGTGTTATAGGCTGGCTGCAGCGGTTGCTCTCCCCTGCACCGTGCAACCATTACAGGAGGCAGGCTCCTGTGAATACCCCTTTCATAGTCACATCACATGGTGAAAGCGTAACCTGCAACAGGGGGACAACTGCAACTGGAGGTGATACTATCGAGAGTGGAGCTGGCTGCCCGTCTACAGTAAACACCACGTTAGTAGCCTCCTTGAGACTAGCACCAAGCAAACGGGTAGAGGCCATGCTGCCTCGGTTTCTCATGTTGTTAGACATGAGCAACTCATGCCGAGTGCCCGAGGGGGATGCGAGGTTGACAAACGGAGAGTGGAAGGACGAAGAGGTCCCAAATATTGAGAAGTATCAGATCTGATTTGATATGAAAGTACGGTACGTGTGGTTGCCAAGGACTCGTTTGAGCCTACCGTGTTTGATATTGTATGGTACCTGTGTAGATTAGTGTTATAAGTATCTTTGTTGCTGGTGCACAGGGCCCTAGATATCAGACTTTGGAGTCTGATTCAGAGTCCGTTCAGACTTTTTTTTTTTACCTAGTCTGAACTCCAAGAATTTTTTTATGCACCCTGTCTGATTTTTCAGAGTTTTTTTAACTGACTTGTCTGAAATTTCAGCGTAGTCATAGTACCGTCATACCCCGGAAAAGCCCCCATGGGGGGCAATAATAAAACATGTTTTTTTTAGGGGGTGGGCTTATAATCGAGTAAATTTATAAGCGCCGGGGCTTATACAGTGACATATATGAAATCTAGTTGTTTTCACTTCAAAATGTTCATCTTGTCATTGCGATTTCAAACAAGTCAAGATCATAGTGGGTGTGAAGAAGAATCTCGCGTAAGTTTGCCAACTGCCAACACACACAGTCAGAATGAGTCATTTCGCCCCATGACAGCTCATTCTGACTGGACGCGCAGTCAGTTGAGTCGCGCGAGGGTGGGGCAGTGAGTCCCGCGAGGGTGAAGGGTCGAAATTTCACCAAGTGAGGATGCAAATAGTGTGTTTCGCTACAAGATTCCAGTAACTTTATAAAAACTAATACAAATGGTGGCTCTTATAATACGTAAGCCTTCAGTGGGTGCCCTTATAATCAAGCACCGGATATAAGCGCCACACGCCAATTAAAAGCGCCAGGCGCTTATCCGCGGGTGGCGCTTATATCCGGGGTATGACGGTAGTGTAGGCTGAGCCTCAGACTTGTTTCGGGGGTCCACTCTGAAACCGGTTATACAGGGGTTTCCGCCAGCCTGAATGAAAGGTTATTGAAACGAAACTTCCTCGAAACTTCTTTTCGATACACCCACGTGTGTACGGGCCAGCACTAACGATTTCCTCCGGATAAAATTGCTCGAGTTGGGGCACCAGAATACACTACTTTGTCGACGCTATCACGAGTGTCGAATTCATTGGGGGCTTATAATAACCCTTAAATTATGAAACTAGATAGCCAATCGCACATGGCCAAAACGATTTTAGCGACTCGCACATGGCGAAAAGCGAATTGGTGCAAACGAAAGCCTTGTCACATATGAGTCTCGTACTTCAGCAGAACCGCACATCATTTCCCCTTGCCAAACCGAGTATAAATTTAGAAGTTGCAACTTGCAGAAAATATTCCACGCACATACGGTGTACACGGTTGAAAACTCTTGCTGCTGCCAGCGCGCCCAGCACAGAAAAGTGCCGAGCGATACCGTGCCTGCTGCCAGGTCAGCTGATTGTGAGCTTTGCCACACTTGGCACTTGCACGAGGCCATTGTCTGAGGGTTTTGAGTTGATCACGCAATGTTACCCACACCTCGACCCTGACTACTCAGTGTTCCTAACTCTTGAAAAATGGCCAATCAGAGTGCCCCATTTCTGGCCGCACATCTGCGTTGGTATGCTGTAATCAGCTTCAATGCTATTATAACTATGCTGTTATGAAACTGCATGAACATCTTAAAATTTGAAGTAACTCTCACAGTTCAGACAAAAAAAATTGTGCTTGTCTGAATTTTCAGAATAGAAAAAAAGGTAACTCTGACGGCCAGACTAGGAAGAGGGGTGTACTCTGAGGCGTCAGACTACCTCAAAACGAATCTAGGGGCCTGGTGGTGCACTTTTATGCCCATCTTTGGATTGTTCTTCTTACGGTATTTGTGAGAAAACTGAAACAAGAATGGAATGACTAAGTGAAAGTTGGGTGCAAGTATGAACCCTCGAAAGCTGTACCCCATATGTGCTACCACACTATAGCCTACAGTAGCTATCTCATATAAATCTGACACACCCCCATAGGCAAAGTGGGGGAGAACAAGGGGTCACAAGACCAATTAAGCAAATCAAGCTCAGGGTGGATCACAAAGTCACCACACATTCCGAGCACAAGTTCAAGGCCACAAGGCCAGTTCAGATGCAGGAGTACATATATATATAAGGCTAGACAAGCAAGAGCAGGTATATATATATATATATATGTAACAGTACAAGTAAGGTCAAGAGGTGAGCAAGTGAGGCAAGACGGGCACAAGACCGAGCTGAGTGCAGAAGCGCTGATGATCACAAGGCGCAAGTGCCTTGGTGAAGACATCAGCACTGTTGGCCTCAGAGGCCACGTACGCAAGCCGCAACTGACCACGCTGCTGTAGCTCACGAGCAAGGAAGTAGCGGAGAGCAATGTGCTTTGTTCTGTGCTCCAGTCTCTGCTCTCGACACAAGGCCAGCATGGCCTTGTTGTCTACGTACAGAACTGGAGGAGAACGAGGCGGCTCTCTGAGGTCAGTCAGCAGGTAGGTGAGCCAGCGAAGCTCTTGTGCAGCCATGGCCCCTGCGTAGATCTCAGCCTCACAACTGGAGCCGAGAACAGAAGACGAGCAAGTAGCACTCCACAAAACAGAGCCAAAACCAAGGCTGAAGGTGTAACCCTGTGACGACCGCTGCGTAGCCTGGTCGTCAGCCCAAGAAGCGTCTGCGTGCCCAGTGAGGACCACCGGACTCCGCCCTCCAAGCACTAGCCCCATGCCCGACGTACTGCACAAGTAGCGCAACACCCTCTTCGCTGCAGCCATGTGCTCCGGTCTGTGTCTCCCAGGAGCAACATAGCGTGCGAGAATGCTAAGAGGGTATGCAAGGTCAGGTCGTGTGCAGGTCATCAGGTACATGAGGCAGCCAAAAAGCTCTGGATACGTGCCACTCGACTCTACGGACTCATCCGAAGGCAGAGTTGAGAGCGAGTGGCGAGTAGGCAGAGGAGTGGCCTGAGGCGAGGAGTACGTGAAGCCTAAGCGCTGAAGGACCTGCTGCACCATGTGTGACTGAGTCAGGGTAATGGTGCGGCGAGCTCTGTCCCGGGTGATCTGCAAGCCAAGGTAGCTACGCATTTCACCCAGGTCTGTGCACGTGTGTCTCTCCTGCAGCTCGGACTTCACGTAGGCTAGTCCAGCAGTGTCAGCTGTGGCAAAGACCAAGTTGTCGACGTACACGAGGATGTAGAACGGCAGCAAAGAGGTGTCGGTGCGCAGAAACAGCGACGGGTCGGCAGTAGAAGTGGCAAACCCAAGAGCCGCAAGTGTAGTCCTCAATGTGTCGTGCCACTCGCGCGGTGCCTGGCGGAGGCCGTAGACTGGCTGCCGGAGGCTCCACTTGGTGCCAGGAGGAAAAGACCCATTGAAGCCAGGTGGGCGGCGCAGCCAGATCTCATCGTGCAGGCTGCCCTGCAAGAAAGCAGTGCTGAAGTCAAGATAGTGCAGCTCGTAGTCATGGTGAGCAGCTACGTGCAGCAGTACCCGAAGAGTGGTCATCTTCGGGGTGGGAGAGAAGGTCTGAAAGTAGTCAACTCCCTGCTGCTGACTGAAGCCACGAGCCACGTAACGCGCCTTGAAGACAGGCGGAGAACCCGACGGCCGCTTCACCCTGAAAATCCACATGCCACTGACGATGTTCGCCCCAGGAGGGGGAACCTCGTCAATATAGGTGCCTGTGGACTTCTAGGAAGCCATCTCTGTATCCATAGCTGCCTGCCACTAAGAGGAGTAGGGACCCTCTATCGCCTCAGCGTAAGAGCGCGGAGTCGGGATGTCAAGTGCATCCGGGTCTCCCTCAGGGGTAAGTAGTACGGACACGAGATGAGGTGAAGCAGCAGCCAGATACTTGAACTTCTCCTGCCTGTCCTCAAGGACGTCCGTGCCAAGGGCACACTCACCCCCGACGGACGGAGGACAGACAGACTCAGACTCAGCGACAAGACTAGCAGCGTAGTCTAGGCGACAGCGAGCAGCAAAGTCGAGGAGCTCAGCAACTAGGGCAGACGCAGCAGTGGACTCAAAGGAAGGGTCAGTGACGACAGTAGCAAGGAGACGCGTGACAGTAGGACTGGCAGCACGAAGAGAGTCCGACTCCGGGTCGGGAAGAGCAGGAAGAGCAGGAAGAGAGGACTCTGGAGGAGAAGTCAAAGGGGCACGCAGAGGAGCAGTGGACGGACGCAGAGACATCAGGTGCGTGCCAGGGACAGGAGGAGGACGCGGACGCGAACCACGACCACTAGTGCGAGCAGGACGGACAGGCGACGCAGGGCGAGACGTAGGCTCACGACGCGCAGCAAGACCTCCAGTAGGACCAGTGTAGGGAGAAGGAGCAGGTAAGGGGGAGGCCGGCTGTAACTGTAACTATGACGGGACCAGCACCCTCAGCAGCCGAAGAACCTCCAGCTCCAGCAGCACGCCTCCAGCGCCGGGCAAACCACTCGCGTAGCTCCGGTGGAGAGAGTGGCTCCCGCCGAGACGAAGCACCCGGAGAACCTCCAGGTCCAGCACCACCAGACGCCACACAAACAGGTCCAGCTCCCTCAGGCTCCACACCTCCAGGCGTAGCACCCCCAGGC